TCTGAATACCAGTTTGCATAACGGTAGCTATGCCAGTTCTTATTCCTTTTGGCTAATTTGAATGTATTTATTGGCAGAAGTCACTGTTCAGAGATATTTGCCAATTTTGATATTTTTAGGTGAGCTCCTTTGCAGCTGTCTTGCTCAGGCACCCTTCACCATTACTTCTAAGCAGGAAAGACTCTTCCAAGCAGACCTCCCAGAGGGAGGCTCTGGTTATACACTGGAAAGATGCTTCACCAGAAGGCTGTGTGCATTTTAAAAACTTGTCTGCTCCTTCTCTTCCCATCATCCTCCCAGTGTCTCCTTTGTTAACCTTTGCATTAATATCTGTGCAATTCTAGGAGTTCGCAAGGCAGGTGCAGTTGTGCTAGGGCTGGTAAGAGGTCCACACATGAAGCCATTAAGGCTAGAGCAAGACAGTGTCATGGGGCACTGCATCCCAAGGCAGTGAATTCCAGCAGTAAACCACACACCACCACTCCCCACAAAAGAAGGCATCTTTTACCATTTAAATTTAAATAAAGCTTCCACTCCTATGTGTTTTCATGCTGTTAGAAAGGGAAATACCTTCTCAGGACCATTAGTTATGTCTGTGCTCTATTATGGCCCTCTTATTCAGCTGCTTTCTGAAACTGCCAGTCCCTGACCCATCAATTTCTCCTTGTCTCTGTTGGTTTCTATTACTCAAGCGTCTCAGAGCCTCTTATGTTTCTGCCATGTCTTTTCTTGGATTTAAAATGCAGCCATGTATTATATATCCTCTGAGGAGCTAGGGAATGTGATGAGTGGGTTCTCTGGAAATGCAAATGCTCAGAACTAAGGAGCTGCTGTATACTCAAGTTCATCTTGATGGCACTGCTAGACACGTACCAGAGTGTTTTGAAATGACACATCCATAACATATGAGAGATTCTCAGCTGGGCCATGCACAATGGAAGGAAGCCATTTCTGGTTTTTCCCTTGGATTGAATTCCTATAGATCCCAGCCTTCTGCCTGACTGTCATGGCTCAATCTAAAGAGAGCCTTGCCGATAAATGAGAAAATTGCTGGACGGCTGAAAAATGTGCACTCTGCATCCTCTGTACTTTGTACTGCCACATAGCTGTTCCTGGAAGTGAAATGCAATCAGTGGGTAAGACCAGAAGGCCCAAATTTCATCTCTGTATATACTGAAGAATCAAAGTTTTCTTCTTGTTACTTTTTTGTTTTTCAGTGCCACCAGAGCCCCATCCCATCATACTCAGATTAAATCTTCAGGTAATGTCATGCTTTTCTACTTTTTGTGTCCTTTCTTTAGATCAAGTTCCTTCCTTGTCCAGAGGGTCAGCAGTTGTGCCATCTAAATCCAGCTGAAATCCTGTTCCCTTGGTTGAGGGATTAGGAAGACTGACCAAGTGGGGTTATCTGTCATCTAGGTCACCTGGCTGTCCTGGGCACTTTTGCTGAGAAGAATATCACTGGTGGTTTCTCTCTTTTCTTCCACTCACAACTGCCTTGTGGCACTGCTCTCTGATTCAACCCATAAACTTCAGCTTGTCTCTCCTGCTCTTGCCTGCCTAGTTAGGGGATGGATTGGGACCATGATCTTTGCTCTGAAGGGTTTTGAAGGCATCTAATTTGGTTCAAGTCCAAGATTCCCAAGGAAATCTCATTTACCAAGGGGTTTGTTTGCCCTCTCCAACACGCAAAGCTGCAGAAAAGTCCACCACATAGCAGCTGTGAGATGGCTGATCTGCATTATTTTGTATTTTACTAGTTTCTGGGTGTTCTAGTCTGTTGCAATTAGCTAGCAAGCCCTGTTTTCTTTATGACCATTTGTAGTGCTGATTGTTTGCCATATATCTTTGGGCCTGAGCCAGAGAGAGCAGCAGTCTGGAAACCAGCTGGTACCTGAAGCTGGTCAGAGCACTGGACTAATGCACAGATTATTTTATGATTACTTATTTTGATTCAGAGCCATGAAGAGATGAAGACTTGGTCTTTACCAGCCTGGAGCATCACTCCTCTAAAAACAAAAATCCCCAAAACCCCCACAACCCTTTCTACCCATTAGGAAAAAAAAGGAAAAAAAAGGGAAAAAAAGGAAAAAAAAAAAAGCCTTTGCTCATTGACTCAAATGTTTGGTTCCTTCAGGTCCAGTTTACACTGAAAACCTGTAGAATGACTATTCAGTATGAGTTCAGGAGACTTTATGCTTTATGGTGGTCCACAGAGCTGTAAGTTTTGGGGTTGCTCCATGAGGCTGCCAGCTGCAGAAGCAGGAAGGCACCACTGCTTACTCCTGCTGGAGTTATCTGACCATGCCAGTTCAGAAAAGACTTGCAGGCCAAAGAGCATAAGAACCTGCTCTCAGAAAATCTGGGAGGAAAAAAAACCCCAAAAGAGTTGAAAGCTGTTTTGCAAATCTGTTGTGTAGCTTGCGGAGTAGAAGTGAATGAATGAGTTAAAAGAACAAATTTGTCTCTGGGATGTAAAGCATATTCTCGGTGGTACTTGCAGTGTTGGCCGTCTGCAGGAACTGGTGTGATTGTGTTAGTGAAGTCTGGATGGTACAGGCATTGCCTGAAAGTATTCAGAGGTGGTGATGTAGAGACACCAGCCTTGCTCTGCATGTTCTCCTGGTCCTGTTTTTTCTAGGATGCACACAGTCTGAGCCTCTCTTGCTAACTGCATGGCTGACACCAGTCAGGGTACCCCAGCAAACTCTTCCTGCTGCTGTAGACCTACTTGCTAAGCCCCACTTAACTTCCTAGGAGGCCTGACATGTAAGAGACAGGAGCATCAGCTACCTGGGCTCCTCAGAGCCCATTTTAATAATAATTTTTAAGTATTATTAAAAATAATCTGCTATACCTAATATAAACTCAAAAATCTGCCTCACCTGAGCACTGCCACTGTTGCTGTAGCTATGTCAGAAGATACAGGCAGATGGGGACCAAACAAAAAGGGACTCTATCAGGACCCATCAAATACACACCCGTGTCTTTTTACTGATGGCATTGTCCTTCACCACATCTCTATGTCTGGGCTGCAAGAAAGAAGTTCCCAGGCCGTAACTCTGATGCAGAGGGGAGACTGGGAAGGGTAAGAAACTTTTGGGTATCCTCAGGATGCTCCTGCCCCCCATGTGCAGCTGTGGGGTGGGGGAACCTTCCCCAGGTATTTGGGGTATCTATCTGGGAGCTGGGACTGCTCAGCTTTCCTGCTATTGCACAGGGACAGCCTGGGATCACAGCTGCTGCTGGGTTAGAAAGAAATAATAATTCATGTCTCTGTTCCTGGGTCACGCTTGAAATTAATGAATGGCTTTGGAAAAATGGGCAAGTTTTCTTTTTTTTTTATAGTTTGAACTCTTTCTTTGCCTGCAGGTGTCTGGACACAATTAGGTCATGCTTTCAAACCTCCTTCCAGCCTAGAAAATACAAGATGCGGAGGTAATCACACGATTCCTGAAGCAGGGTCTTCAACTGTGGAGAAGTGAAGAAGGAGCAAATGTAGTAAGCAGCCTGTGATAAAATCATGATCTGGTGTGACTGGCACATGTAGATATCCTACAGTAACAGCCATAAAAGCCTGCACCGTGATTCACAGGGCTGTAATGAAGTCATTGCAAAGCATTCACTGCTGGACGACTTCCTGGGTCTAGCTTTTAACAGGTCTTAATGGGCCAAAAAATGGGAGGCTTCAAGGGGGAGCCTGAAGCAAAGCCCTGATTGCGATGCAGCGCAGTGTAAGTGGTTCAGTGTCCCATCCAAGCACTGAGCTTTTTCTTACAAATGGATGAGAGAAGCAAGAGAAGTGGTGTTTCTCTGAGATCACATTGAGGATGTGCATTTGGCAGGTACCTTGTTAGGAAGGACTACTTTGTGGGCAGAGGTGCTGAGGAGAAGAATATTAAGGAGAGGTTGCAGATTTTTCTTTTTATGGAGGACTTTAAGGGATGCAAGCATGCTTCTGTAAAAAGGAAAAGCCCCCCAAAAGCTGCTGCAGCTTGAGCATCTATCTGTGGAGCACAGCCTTCTTGGCATTGGTCACCCTCTGCAGTCCCTTGGGGACCCCAGGCCACCATTCCCTCTCCAACATCACCCATCTTTCCTTTATCCTGCATTTAGGATGTTAAAATGCTAGTTTGGGTTGTCTGGGGAGGATTTGGATGCTAGGCTGGCTCCCCCTTCCTACTCCAACTACTGCGACGGGCACTGGAGTCTGGGCAGTCTGGGGCTGTGTGTGTGGTTGGTGGTGACCATAAAACAAGAGGAAAAAAAGAAAACACATGCACAGGAGGGGAAAATAATCAAGCCGAGGGGGAAGGAAAAAAACAACTTGTCCTCTTATAACATAAAAGCCCTCCTCCCCTCGAAAGAAATAAAAGCCAGAGTGAAATGAAGGTAAATGCCAGAGGTTTAAGTACCACACTGCTGAGTGTGTTTTAAAGGTTACCTTTCAGGGGGTTGAAGAGAGAGCGAGCGACAGAAAGGGAAGGAGTTGGAGCACTTCCCATTGCGAGGACCACTCCAGCTCTTAATGGATTTTTATATCCTTGTCTGCTTTTTGTGACATTATTAAAATTGCTTATTTTTAATTTTTTTTCCCTTTCTTCGTCTGTGGGAGGGGGTTGGGGGGCAGGAGGACAAACTCCGTTGCCATGGCAATATCCAGCTACATGATGTACATCTGCATTGCTGATATAGAGCAAAAAATGAAGTTTTGGGGTAGTTTTTAAAGAGGAAAGAAGCCGTGTCTGGGAGTGTGTACATGCACACATGTATTCTCATGCCAGAACAAAAGTCACCAGGTTTAATTACAGGCGTGGGAAGGTGACATTTCCAGTGCTTACCTGACCAGGATAAAGAAATGAGGAGCCTTGAAGCAAGGTAAACACCTGTGTATAATGTAAATGCTGTATGGCAGACCTCCCCCCTTGCCTTACATCTAGCAAATATCTCCTCATTTGCTATTCAAAAAGTACACCAAAATTTATCTTTGATTTAGGGTATATGCTCATACCTTTGGGAGGTTGTGTATGTGCCCAACAGACCTGGGAGATATGGGTCACTGTCTTCTAAAAGCAAGGACAAATCTGTTCTTGGATGGCAAGCACCACCTTTCTGCACCCCGGGGGGTTCCTATCATCAGCTCCTGTGCAAAGTCAACCTGCTGGGAAAAACCCAGGTGGTCTCAGCACCTGACAGTCTGGGGTACCAAAGCAAGAGGGGCTGATGGCACAGGGCTGCCAACACACTCACTGTTCCACTTGCAGTCTGCAGTGAGCTCCTTGGCATAAGACCCCTTCGTCTTCCAAGATGGATGGCCACTGAATTGCTCAGACAGACAGTCCTGCAGCAGGAGAGTGTCCGAGCTTCTCGCAGGACAGCTGAGGATGATCTCTGCCTGCTGGCCAGGGCTTGATGTGGGATTGCCTCCAAAAAGAAGGTGGTCTGAGGAGCTGCATGGCTCAGCAGCACTTGCCAGCAGCCCCAGCATGGCTCTGAGCTACCAAGCAAACTCTTATAAGATAGCGCAGCTTTTTCTTCAAGCCCTTGCTCTCCTTGGAAGGATGGTTTCAAAGGGTGCATCAGAGAAGCAAAGGTCTGAGTGGGGGAAGAAGTCTTCTTCCCATCCCACATTCAAGCAGGTGGGGGAAAAAAAACATACGCTGAAGGTGCCTGATGTACTTCTGAATCCTGCTTTCTCCTTCCAGTCCCCAGCCCTTTGATTTGGTCGGTTCCCTTTAATTTTTTTTCCTGTCAGAAGGCAAAACCTAGCTCTGCACCCAGTGGTGTTCATACTCCATCATGGCCAAATAAAGCTCAGAATTACTCAGAATGAGCTACCTGCTCCAAAAGCCCCATCTTCCTGCCTGCCCAGCCATCAGAGGCAATCCTACTTCAACATACCTCCTGAGCCTGGTTTTGTTATCTGTCTGGGTAAGCCTGTTGCTCCTTACAACTCAAATGCCTCATCCTCATGACATGCTGGGTTTCTGCATGGGATAAAGAAGTCAGGTGGGGGCTAAGCTTGGATGGGAACCAGCATTTCTGTTGGTCACCTCCATTTTCCCCTGCACAACTGAGAGTTGTCCAAGGCTGCTTGCTGGGATTTGGGTAGTATGACCTGGTGGTTGGAACACGGGTCCATGCCAGGACTCGCTGAGTACAGATAGTCCATTTCCTATAACGCATGGTGGGTATGGAGTGCTGGGGTGTTCAGCCTGAAGTACCTTCTTATCCCAGGGATAGAAAAGGATCTCAGCATTGCTCAGCCTGCTCTGGCTCTTGGGCAAGGGAGATTCCTTCTCTCTGCTGCAGATTTCTCCTCAGGGGGCAAAAGCTCACAGAGCAGAGGGGAGAGGTGATTCAAAGACTGGGATGCATCAGTGCTGGGCTGCCTTGTCATGGTTTGGTGTGGCCTGATAGCGTCCATCAGGGCTCAGCCCCTCCTGGCAGAATGAAGGGGTGCAGACCTCCCCAGGAGGGCTCAGCAGGTGGCATGGAGAGAAAAGTCCCCAGCATGACTGCAATCTCCACCTCTGTGGGCCCCAGCTCCCCTGCTGGGCACCCTGACCAGGCTCTTGCTGGGTGTCAGATGGCCTCTCCGAAACAAATTATCGCCTTGGCTGGGGAGGCTGATGAGATTTCATTTACTGCTGCTTTCACCAGCAGTGCTCAGTGCCCAGCAGGACCCAGGCGGCGCCAGGGGAGGCAAGCTGAGATGATAGAGGGTCCCCCTAGGCACCAAGCTCTATTTTAGACACTCTTACATTTCCTGCGGTGAGGGATTTGCTGTCAAGGACAGGGGAGGAGGAAATGCCATGGCATGGGCTGCTCTCATGGGGCAGCCAGGCAGAGCAGGGAGTGGGAGATGGAGCCTGCAGAAACCCCATTCCATCTGGCTACCAGTCTTGCCTCCATGGAAAAACCTCCAGCAGCAATCCCAGCTCCTGGCAGGGGACTACAAAGGGTGAGAGGAATGGTGGATGCTTATTCTGCTTAACCGCCTTTCCATGGATACATCAGTGAGCTGCATCTGTACCCCACCAAGTGCTATCACAGGGACCCAGAGATACAGACCCCCCTGCACCTAGAGCTCTGTCCTGTGAGCATCACATCAGCCCCTGGCTCTATGCCACCAAGCCTACTCTTGCAGGACTTGCTAACCCACCACCATGCTGAGCTGTCCAGATACATAGCCAGACACTCCAGCGGATGGGTGGGAACGGAAATAGCTTGTTAAAACTTCACAGCTTCACATCTGAGATCTGTGTTTTGCAGGCAAACAGGTAGTATTTTAGCTCCAAGGGCTCTGGTAACTGCTGCTATTGCTCTTATTTCTTTTGCTCTTCTTTCACCAGAAAGTCCACAATAAAAATACAGTGGAAACGCTTGAAGAACAGTAGTTGCCAAGAAAAGCAGATATCAGAAATACTTGGGGCCAAGGGGTGACACAGAAGTCAAGCAACAACCAGGCAGTGCAACCCCACCAGCTCCTGCACCCGGCCGGGCGCATGGGGCAGAGCTCCACAGGGATGACCCTCATCAGGGACAGGCTAAGGCCATATACTGGTGCTGTGCCAGCCATGACTCTTGCTGCAAGGCAGGACTGGAAAGGTATGGAAAGGTATTGGGCTTTTTTTGTTACTGTTTTTTCTGCAGAGCAGGGTTTAGCATCTGCGCTTAAGGAGAGCAGCAGCACCTACTTGTGCTATGCTCAGGCACTTGTTTGTGGCAAAGGAGAAAGGATGGGCTGAATAAAAGGGGAGCTGTGCTGTCAGAAACAAATGCACTGGTCAGCCCCTCCTGAGACTATGTGGTGTATGCAGTGTATATATTTAGGTTTTGGTTCACCTTCCTTACCTCCCAACAGCCCCAGCTTGGTGCCCTGGAGACCCAACCCAGCACTGCAGGGACATGCAGGCGTACCCAGTGCCTGCGGTGATTGCTTAATGTGGACAACACTTGATTAGAACTTGTGTCTATTGCTTTGGTTGATAATGCCGCTACAATGGAGGGGGGGTTGTGTGTAAAAAAAACATGAAAGCCAGGGAGAGATGGAGATTTAATTGGATAATTCTCACTGAAGCATCTCCTAGTTAACCAGCCAGAACCCCACCTGCATCTTTACATTATTTTGCATGTTAACAAGGTCTGCATCCTGTGAAGCGGCTGGTGGGCATGAGGGGTTATTAAACCTAGCAGCACCACTTCCATTTATCCTCCGGGGTAACTAAAGGATGTAGCTGGATGTCAGTGCTCGTCTCCAGCAGCCGCTGGGGAGCCAGGTGCCCAGCGGGGTAGCTGGGCTCCTTTTTAGGATGCTCATAACATAGAGCTAGAGCAAAATGCTGCTGTTTAGAAGCTTGGACAGCTTTAGTATTATTGTGAGCAGACACTGTCTACCAGCAGAGAGAGAAATGATGAGACTTTTAACATATAACCTCCATCAGGTGAGCAAACAGGACTCCTGCTTTCATTTTTCCTCCTTCTCTGCATCTGGCTGATGAGTAAAAGCACAAAGCAGGGTAGTGGGAGCAGAATCATAGAATCATTCGGGTTGGAAAGGACTTTTAAGATCATCAAGTCCAACCCTTAACCTAGCAATGCCAAATCCACCAGTAAACTGTGTCCTTAAGCATCACATCTACACTCTTTTAAATCCTTCCAGGGATGGTGATTCCACCACTGTCCTGGCCAGCCTGTTTCAGTACTTGACAACCCTTCGGTAAAGAAATTGTTCCTAATATCCAGTCTAAACCACCCCTGGTGCAGCTTGAGGCTGTTACCTCTTGTCCCATCGCTTGTTACTTGGGAGAAGAGACAGATCCCCAGCTCACTGCAACCTCCTTTCAGGCAGTTGTAGACAGTAATAAGGTCCCCCCGATCCTTCTCTTCTCCAGACTAAACAACCCCAGTTCCCTCAGCCACTCCTCAACAAGACTTGTGCTCCAGGCCCTTCACCAGCTTTGTTGCCCTTCTCTGGACCTGCTCCAGCACCTCAATGTCTTTCTCATAGTGAAGAATGGAGCAAGAAAGACAGCTGAAAATGTCCAGGCTTGTTTATTTTGCTCCCAGTTATCCAAAACAACCTGAGTGGATGGGTTTCTTTCTTCCAAGGCCGGCCGGGGCACAGACATTAAGCCAACTGGGTAAGATCTGCAAGAGGCAGTCATGGACAAATGCTCAAAAGTATAAATATATCACTGCAAATTTCTGGAGCTCTTCCCATCCTGGACAACCTGACCTTCAATTTGTTGAACTTCATCTCACGATTTTAATGGTTGTCAGTGCAAACGCAAGGCAGTTGTTCCTGGAAACACTGAGCCATCCCCCAGGCCTTGAGAGAAATTCATGTTGCCCTTGTCATCCCTCCCACAGGAGGGTTTTTTCCAAGCACTTTATTTATCTCAGAAGCATCATGCTGTTCTCTGGGAGGTTGCTCTCTGCTCCGACCCTCAGAAAACATGTCCTGAAAGATGTCACTCAGTAGGAAGCAAGGCATAAATGTGTTTGTCTGAAAAGCTGTGGAATCAGGCTGGGGAAACAAACACCAGGAAGGTGGATGAAGATCTCAAGTCCTCCTCTCACCAGCATCAATAATAGTCCTAGCAAAGAGTGGGGAGCCAGGGAGAAAGCCACTGTAAGACCCAACCCTGCCACAGAACCCCCACTCTGGATGTTTTTCACATTGGCTTCTAGGGGGAGAAGAATAAGCAGCTGATAATCCAAACTTCTCAATTATTGTGGGTAGTAAATTAGCAGCAGCAAGTGGAGGCAGGTGACTCAAACTGACTCATAACGAGTCACAGGAAGCATCCTTCTTCCAGAGTGTGGTCACAGCCTGGCTTGATGCAGCCTTTGACACGTATCCTTTAACCAGAGGGAACCTCTCTGAATGCCACAAAATGTCACCACGTTTGCCCATGTTGGCACCAAGTCTTGCTCCAAAGGGAGGTGCTTTTCTGCTAATTAAAACTAATGAGCTCTTACAGCTTGTCTCCATTCACGTTTTCCTAGGTACTAGATGCCATGGGAGGATTGGTCATTGCATGAGCTGCTTCCTGAGCTGCACAGCTCAGACCAAGGAAGGATATTTAAAATCCCCAAGGTCCCAAATCCAGACATAACTTTTAGCCAGGGAACGCAGCCTGTAGTAAACATTAGAGGTTCCTCACCAACACCCATCCGCTGCAGAAACATAAACTCCATTCAAAACCAGGCACCTTTGGCCCTGTTACTCACAGAAAGAGTTGTCAGACTCTGGCAGCCTCCAAAGCCTTGTACTTCGGGACTTTGGATGTAGGTCAATGTAAGCACGGTGTTAATTTAGCATCAGCGAGAACAGCTCCAGTCCATCAAACCTACTCCTGTTAAACACACACTGCCCTGGTTTGGGGGTGGGAAGCGATGTCTCTACACCAACCAGCAACACGTAGCACCATCCTTGGTGACTCACCCAGAAGGCTAGTGTTAGCAATAGTGAACATGGTGGATATGCCTGCAGGTGCAGGCAATGGGCACACACTTCCACACCATAAGGAAGCCCCAGCTTTGGTTAACTGTTATGGTGTTTTTCCAGATATCGCGATGATCTTGTTTGCTGCCCAGTAAATTTTCACCCACCTTCTTGGTAAAGATAGCAGGAGGCTTTGTGCCAGCCACCCCTCCAGAGCAGTTCCTATTGTCATGTGATGAGCCCAAAATCAAGCAGCCACCATTCTCCTACGCTTCTTCCCTTTACCAAAGAAAGGTTTGTGGTTGTAAATGGGGACCTCAAGCTCCATTTCAGCATGTGAGGATAAAAAAAATTGAGAACAGCATTTATGGGGAACTGCTTTTTCCCTTAACTTCACTTGGTCATGTAGGACGTAACACAAAGCATGCTGGATTGAGCTGCAAGATTCTTATTCATTTGCTTCCATAGCGCTGGAAAACCACACTTCATTTCCCTGACAACAGAGACCAGGAGTAGTCAACACCACCGAAGATGCATCACAGAGCATCATTCTCAAGCACTGGATGGCTTCAGCCAGCTGGAAGACCAGATGCAATTTGAGTCTTGTCACAAATAGAAATGCACTAGGACACATGGCTGGAGACCCTAGCCCTTCCACTCCATGCCCTTCCCGGATCTGGTCCATCTGGCGGATACCCCCTGCAGCACCCCTGGTGCTGGTGCTGTTGGCAGGTATATTGCAGGAGGAAGCTGGGCTTTGCCTTGGGGAGCACTGGGTGTCATTCAGCAAAGGATGTTCCCAGCACTGGGCAGTGACACACATTGTTAGCAAGGCCAGGCTGAATCAAGAAAAACAAGTGAGATGACACTCAGCAATCAGTAATTCCTCCCCCTCGCTCATAACTCTGTCAGCCCTTTCAGCTGGATTGTCAAAATACGTTTGTCACAGAACAATTCCTACTCTTTTTATTATTATTATTATTATTATTTCCCCCCTTTTTCAGACTCTAGCTGAACTCATCTGTTTGGAACAAAACCCAATATTCATTTCCTCCTGGGCAGCTCATTTTATTATTGGTTCACCTGCTCTCATGGCTGAAAAGCTATAACACTAGCTGGGTCTTCAAAATTGAATTTTGTTGGGTTTTGGGTGGTGGCTCTTTTTTTCCGGCCTCACGTATTCCATGACTGCAGGTTACTGGCAGGGATTTGAAGATGTACTTGGCAAAAGCACTTTCTGTCTGGGATGGGGATGAGCAAAACAGGAAGCCTGCCTCTCTCTAAATCAGCATCTTTCCAAGGGTTCAAATTATTCCAGAGCAGGACAGATCTTGCTTGTGCCTTGCATATCTTTTGCTGGGGTGAAGTGAAGCTGTGGGCTGTTACTAGAAGTTCCACTGGGCGGATAAGACTAAAAGAAGAAGATGTGGGTTACTCTGGGTATTTTTTGGGGGAGGGGTGAGTAGGAATGCTCCTGCTCAGCCCCAGCTTGGAAGCTGGGAGCCCTGCCAGGCTAGGATGAACTTTGGATGTTGCTTGGCCTGGGGATCCTTCCCAGGCTTCCCAGTTCCTGCCATGGCAGCGTGAATTTTGCTGCTTCAGGGACTGTGTTCAGGAGGCCAGGCTCAGTTCTGCACTGCACTGCCAGCTTTCCTTATTTTATTTACCACTCTTCTCTGCTGGGCTAGCAGAATAAAGATCTTGGGACAGAGAGGGAGGGACCTGTGTGTCCCATTGCATCGCTAAGACTGACTCTCCCACACTAGACCCAAAATGCTCCACGGGCTGCTCAGAAACCTGTGTTAAGGGCTTAGAAACTCTGGGTTAGCCACCGTTGCATTAAACCCCTCGCCTTTCTATGGCTAGGTGATGTTATCTTCATTCTGCAGCTGGAGTAGCAAAGCCCAAGGGTAGGAAGAAAACCCTAATCTGTGTTGACACTGGCTTTCACCTCCCCAGCAATATTCTCTGCCTCACTTGTCCATGCACATGTTTTCCATGCCTGTCTTTTCCGTGGGAATCCTGGCTGAGACATTTGCTCCCTTGGAGTTCCCTGCAAATGCTAAATGAGGTGCCAAAGCCAAAAGCTGACCTCATCGTTTCTCAGCAGGAAATAAGTTTGCCAACAACTGGTATTTCAACTGACCTCATATCGTGAAAGATCTGTGTCCTATCATACCTGGAAATGCCAGCCACGAGACAACGCCGGTAGCAGGAGCCAGCATTTTTACTGGAAGGAGTATTTTTAGCCTGGCAAGGCATTGTATTAGGAATCTTATTCCTTCAGACAGTAGTACCTCAGTCCATCAGAGCAAGTGCACAGATTCCCTGGCTGCAGTGCCCACGGGAGCAGCCTGGCTGGCCGAGGGCTGTGCTGGCACCATCCTGTACACCCCCAGCACTGTTGATGGATCCAGATCTGCCCACCTGCCAGCATAGGTCAAGGCCGGACATGTGTTAGAACATGAAAAGCAATCCCAGCTGAAAATGAGAGGAAGGGGAAGTGTGAAGGAAACCTCGCAGGTGTCAGACAAGCCCCTCCCCATGCCTGCCCTGAGAGGGCTCCGCGTTGGAAAGTGCCTAGGGATGGGGCCGTTCAGCGTGCATGCTTGCATTACTGCTTGCCCCAGGAAATTGGCTTGGGGAAGCTGGATGCTGCTGTGGTGAGTGGCATCGTGCTGAGCTGCTTCCCCCAAGCTGCCAGGCACTCACCCACACCACCATGGCTGCAGAGCATATGAAAATGCATAAATGGGGTTGAGCATCCACAGAGTGAGAAGGGCCGTGCACCCACGCTCCCTCCAGCTGCCAAGTCCTCTGTGATCCTTTTGATAGCTTGAGTGCAGGAGGATGGGGAGCAATACAAGCTGTCATCTCCTGTACCTTCGGATTGACTGAAGAGAGGGAAGGAGCTGGCAGACACTGCATGTCCTATGCACCAGGCTGCCCACACACTTTTCTCCCTTTCAGTTACCAGCTGTAATAAAGAAACAGGCAGGGCCAGCCTCATTAGTGGGGCTGGGGCTGGGGCTGGATTGGTCTGGGCTGAGTTTCTAGCCTCTCTGTGGACAGTTCTTCTGTGCCGGCACCATGTAGTAACTTGCAACGCAGACACAGTGGTCGGAGGAACTTGAGGTAATCCTGCAAGCTGAGAGCTGGCTCTCAAACGGCTGGCTTGAAACCTAGGAGGATAAATCCCACTGAGTGCAATGCCTGGGTTTTGGAATGAGGGGCACTGTAGGAGGGTTCAAAAGGATGCAAAGCAGGCTGGCCAGCTGGCTGGCTGAGGCTTTCTTTCTCTCTGCTTTCATCCCTGACCTAGCATCTGCACCTTCAGGGAACACCAAGTGAAGGCTGCCTTCATGCTGGTCTTCTCCTAGCAAGTCCCCTTGCACTGTTTCCCTGCTAAATAAAGATCTCTGGCCTCCCAGTATCATTTTCCCAGGCACTCCTAGGCTCTAACGTGTTCCCCTGAGACCTTGACTCTGCTGCCGAAACAGGCAGCAGCAGCAGCAGCAGGAGGAGGAATGGGGTTGCAAGTGAGCCGGGGACTCAGAGTTTGACCGAGTAGGTGATTATTTGGCGGAAGGAGGAAGCGATTGCCATGTGGCACTCCCTGGGTATACCTGGAGGGCACAGCTGATGAATAGGACTGTTTTACTTGCCGCAGGCTGAGCCATGCAAAGCTCAAGAGAGTATTTTCCTGAGCTGCTCCATTAACACAAACAGACAGCAATGCTAGCTGCTGACACCAGGGTTAATTAAATCCATCTCTCCATCAATTCTTATTCAGCTATTATCGATGGTCATTAGATCAGCGACAAAGTGACAAGCAAACAGTAATAGACTCATCTTAACCCTTGTGGTGCTGGAGAAGGGTATGCAGACTATGTGAGTGGGGAGGTGGCTTCTCTGGTGCTCTGCTCAAACTCTACTTGCTGTGCCTTATAGCATCCCACCTGTATTTAAATTAATTCCCTCAGTAGGGCAGGTCACCAGTACCATTCCTCTGGGAAGCAGAGTCTGTGTCTGTGTCCCTCTCTGTCCCTTTCCCCCAGTCCATTGGGGGAAAAAAATCACCCTCATCACAAGGTGGCCCTGAACTGCATGGCAGAGTGATGAGGGTGATGCCACCCTCAGAGGAGAGACCCACACAGCTTCTGTGCACACCTAAGCAACAAAACAACCCATGGGAAAACTAGTTACTGGAATAACTCTATCTGTGAAAGCACTAACAAGAACAAGCGAAATGAGTGTTTTCAGCTCCTAGAGCCCTTCCTTCTTGCAGCAAGGCAGAGTTGATTTCCACCCCCAACCCGTGCCTGTGTCCTGAAGGCCCCTCCGGTGCCACTCGCACTTTTACAGTCAGGCTGGCGGGGGAAGGCTGCCGCTGCTGCTCTCCTTCCTCTCCCCCTCTGATTAACAGCTTAAATGAGAACTGAAGGCTGCCCAAGGGCTGCAATACATTTTCATGCCTCTGCCACTGCAGCCAACAAGCTAATGTCCAGTTCCCTTCAAGGTCACTCACAACCTTCAAGTCACTTTCTAGCTTGCTTGGGGAATGATGCTTTCATCCCACAGTTTTAATTCACAGAGCAAGGAGACAGGGTCTCGTTGGGAGTGCTGGGGCTGAGTCTTGGTGGTGGCTCACATGGGACACACAACAATGGGTTATGAAATGCCTGCGGTAAAATAAATATGTAATTCTGTGCATATATGCAGGTAAACAACCAACATCAAATTATTGCCTCCTTATAGGTGAAACCCTGTGGCAACATTGCCCTTGGTGGTCCATGCAAGTCTTTCTAAAAACCTAGGGTACTCCTTGGAGGTTTTACATGCAGGTTAAGTAGCCCCTTGGTTAGGAAGGGTGAGTTGGACTTCATGATGTGACAAGGCAAAGCCACTGTTGTTTTATTCAGTATTTGCAGGGAGTGCTGCAGCCCAGAATACTCCAGATTTGTTTTCTGCATTAGCAAAATTACAAAGTGCCACCAAAGACCCGCCTTCAAACTGGTAGGATGGAGCTTTCAGAGCTTGTTGGCTTGCAGTAGAGGCTTGTTATGACTTTTGACCCAGCATTGTGCAGGAAAACCATTTAAAAAAAGTATTTATTACCACTTTTTTGCCTCTTACCAGCTTTCTTGTTCTTGTGTTGCTGGAGTTGGGTTGGCCGTGGTGGTAGGGTGTGATTTTCTGGAGAAGCTGCTCAGACTCCTCCTAGCCTCTACCCAGAAGGTTTTGATGTGAAGGCAAGATTTTTGAGTGCTGGTATAAGCACCTCATCATGGCCCATCTGCTCTGCCACAGAAAGTGCATGTTCTTGCAGGATTGCCTGGGGTTTGTG